AATATTGCAAATATCATTAGAGCAGGCTGACCGTCACCAGGCCCTACCCAGGAAGGACTGGGTTGGAAACATAGATTGTCAGAATATTGTTATTTTTAAGCAGTAATCAGAGTCAGGCAAATGGCTTGTTTATTTTGGAAAGATTTACTGAACAACCCTCCGTCTTAAGGCCTCTTTTCAAATGCCAGACATAATAAAAGTAGATAACATGTCTTATTCTTGTAAATACTGGGCTAAATGCAAGGATAGCTACTCATTCTAGTTTTGGCTAGGACAGAGTTTATTTTCTTCACATTGTTTGCTATGATGCTATGTTTTGGCTTCAGGAGAAAAACAACACCGATATCACACAATGTTATAGCTGTTGATGAACAGTGCTGTACAGAGCCAAAGACTTCTAAGCTTCTTGTACTGCCAGTGAGGGGGATGGGGGAGCACAAGGATTAGAAAAGCGACAGAACCAGGACAGCTGATCTAAACTGGCCAAAGTTCTATACCATACTGTGTTATGTGAAAACTACAGAACTGAGGAGAGTTGGCCAGGGGGGCAGACTCTCAAGGATTGGTTGTCAGGTGGTGAACAACTGTGTTGTGCATCACATTTTGTAAAATACATCATATATATATGATAAGAGTAATTATCATAACAGTAATTAACTGCTAATAGTAATAAAAGTAATTGACTGTTATTCCTCACTTATTTTTCTGTCTTAGTAAAAACCTTTTTACCCATTCTTTTCCCCATCCCACTGGGATGATGGGGTAAGAGAAAGGCTATATGGTTGACAGGCTAAACCACAGAACTATTTCACTTTACAGTAGAAGAAAGTAAGTTAGACTTCAAAATCAAAGTTTTGCTCAGCTGCTGCCATTAGAGAACATTACAAATTCCAGACAAAAAACATGTTTCCCAAAGCAAATATTTCTAGCAGTTTCTTGATATCAATGAACCTAACACATCTCACTGTTTCTAAGACACTGCACTCCAAATTACTCAACTGGCAAATGCAAGCACTGGATATTTAGGGAAAACAAAAAACAAACAACACAAAACAACAACTCTATTCTGTCTTACATTGGACACCAAGACTGAAGGTAGACAAAGTCCATAGTTACTGCCAATGATAGAACCGTACCATTTCAGTTTACAGCCTTGTCACTTAACTGTGAACTGTCACTGGCAGAGATTTTTATCCTTTTCTGCTAGCTCCTCACAGATTTTTGCCTCTATAGAATCACTGCTTTAGAAGAGAACACAGGTCAAGAGTTAATTTGCCTTCTTCATCCTTATCTCATGAATCCGAACTGATGGGGACAAAAATCTCAGTCCTATACAAATCTGTATTTGTCATCAGGTCTAAATACAGATAGGGATTTATACAGATATGTTAATCACACTCTCAACCACACAAAATTCTGTCTGAGAAAAATTAACTAATTACTCTGAAGATAAGTTTGAACAAGCCTCTATGGTCTCTAAATGCCTAACTAAATGTCAGACTAACCCATCTTCTGTTGCCAATCTGTGTCAGAGCATGCACTTAATAAACACTAAGTGCTGCTCTCCCTAGAAACAGAAAGGTTCACAAGGCTTTACAGCTTTTTTTGTAGCTAAAGCCTTCCACGGTGTTTCGGCTGGAACGACTGTGGTCCTGGCTCTTCCCCTCACAAACTGTACTGCTCTCTTTCTTAATTAGGGATTATGGGATGATTTAATGGTTCTGTATTCTCTCTGGAAGCTTTCATTTGCTCTCACTCATAGAACAAAGGAAGCAGTAAGACAAAAAGGTGCTGTCTCCACATTTCACTGAGGAAAAGAAATAAACACAGCAACATTACTTGAGCCATGACAATGGCTTTCTGTATAAGCATAGGACAGCCTTTAATTTAGCATGCAGGATAGTTACTATAACATAGCAGGAACACCAGTTGCCCAAGCCAGGGTTTATAATGTTTATAAATAGTTTATAATGCAATACTAACAAGAAAGAGGAAAAAAAAAACCCACAGACTTCTTTTATTCTGTTGAACTTATGTTGTCAAAGTTCAGTTCTATTTAACATGGTGAATTTCACGCATCTGAACTAACTGGATTAGCAAATTTGTGTCATTATCTTTCCCAATCAGGTGAGTTTGCTGCCATATTTTTCCAAGTAGAACGGTAAAGCTGTGTCTGGGTTGCAAATATTAGTGTAAAGAATACTTAAGTTCAATTTAAGTTAAATTTAAATTGAAAAACAACAACAAAAAACAAAACAAACAAAAATCCAATTTTTGCTTACTTGAGAAGAAACAGGTCAAAAATATTTTTATGTTTCTGTTACTATGGAGCTTCCAGGTGTAAACCCAACGTGTTTGCCCTACACGCATAAGAATACTGCTCAAGGCTGGCTCCCGAGGAGGGGGCAGCCCCTCAGCAACCTTTGTTCTAACAAGTAACAACAGGACATGTACACATTCCATCTTTCCTAACCTAGGATTAAAGTGCTAAGTGCCTTGTTTTTCTGACAGGTTTTCTTCTGCAAGCCCCATTCCCTCCCCTCTCCATGAAGTAAAGATTTTGATGCCTTACAATATTGCTTATGTTTTCCTTTATGTAAGCAAGTTCTCTTACTACAATAAGCAGTAATGGCAGGCTTCAGAAAGATGTGTGGCTGCCTAAAAATTAAAGGTTATTGCTGGTCTTGTGTATGTTGATATGGCTACATGTCAAACAAATCAACTTCTTACTTCTTCCCCTGGGGAGTTATTCTCCTACTGCAAACCTCCTGACAAATATTCAAGTCCTTTATCTTGGTTTCTCTGGTTCTTATCGGCTATGGTTTACACTTATGCCCTTGCCTGACTGCTCCTTACCTGAATAGCAAGAGAAGCACAGCCAAAACTACAACGGACCACATCAGCAATGATGGAAAACACTTATTCACTAAAGCTTATAAAAAATCTGCACAGAACTGCATGCAGCATATCTTTCCCATAAGCCATAGAAAACCGAGGTGACTTAAGACTTACCACTGCAAAATAAAAATGCCAATGTGCATTTAATTCTCTTACCTTACTGCAATCCTGACACCCAAGTGCAAGACAGGAAGTGATTTCAGTTGTAATTCAAGCTCTTGTCAGTTCATGTATAGACTCACCTTCACTTGTTTTAACAAGAATGATTCCTTTTCAGTACATAGAAGCAGCCCTCCTGCCATACTGTTCTATCTGTTAGAGTTAGTTTCTGATTTTAGAGGATACTGCTAATCTGACCCTTAGTTAAAATGACACATCTCAGAACTGAATGCGGTGGTATTCTTGTTTATTCTGGAAATGTCTGGTTAGCCTGATAACTTACGGAGTATTGATGACAGTTTTAAAAAACCACAAAAAACAGAAACTACAAAGATTGATCCTCCCCCTATACAAAATATGCACTGCCCTTTCCTCAAGGTAAATATAAACCATACTGAATTGACTTAAACTCCAGTTTCTTTCCAGAAACTCAGTTTACATGCTAAAGATACTGAGGTTAGTATCAGAATAAAGGCTGTTGACAGTATTCATGTGAATTTACCAGTACAAGTCCAAAATACATTAGCTCTCAAGTTCCCTGATCCTACAGTAGAAATCATATTAAGCATTACTATTTTACTATCAGTCATGGAATGTCTAAGTTCATTTATAACTTTAGTGAACAAGTGTTTGCTAAATATCTGTTCAGTTGCTATTAGTTTCCAGTGGAAACAATAAGATTCCCTTTGTAGTGAGGCAGTGACATAACAATACTACCTCACTACATAACTACATACGTTGGCGAAACAAAACTAATGTTTCCTTAGAAAATATTATTATCTTTTAATTATAAAATTTGTAAAGGATATTTTCTTCCAAGCTGGAAACCTCATTAGCTAGGCTGGTCTTCTTTTACTTAGCTGAATTTTGAACGTTTAACTACTGCTCTGAATTTTGTGAAAATTAAACTTCAAGTTGGATTCGTATTATTGAAACAGATTTGTCTTTATTTTCCCATGACTCACATAGATGACAGAAAGATGCTCAAACACTATGTTTTAGATTTTTGGAATGGTATCAATTTGCATTGCATTAGCCAGATAAGTAACAGCTGAATGACTACCTTCAGCTCAGGAAAATTAATTTGGCAAACCATTTTAAGGAGCTCGGTAAAAATGATTTCACAGAAAATCAGTTTAGTAAACTGCTGCCCTAATTAACACTAGCTTGATTTTTTGAACAACCTCCAACAAAGAAGTTCAGAATGACACCAGGAGAGTTACATAAAGGCTGAGCCTCCCTTTCTGTGCGTAGACAGAGCCATGATGCATTTTTTTTTTAAAAACAAAGATAAATGGTAGGCGTGACTGAAGGATTAAATAATACTAATGAAGAGTCAGCTTTACACACAGATTCCACGCTGTATCTGAGAAAATGAGAACCATGGTTTTCCCACCAGAAGTAGTTTGGAATATGACCCCACCACATTCCTTTCAAAAATGTAAGTATCATCATCCTCACACTACACACAGGTAAAGTGAAGTACATCAAGGGTAACGGGCTGTACTTCAGGTGATGTCAAATTCGTGCAGCAGTCACAGATTTTAACAGGGTTTGCAGGATGCTCAGCACTCCTTTGTGCAAGCTCAGAAAACAATCTGGGAAAAGGTTTTGAATGAACTTTTGCCGGCCACCCCACGATGCTTATCTGTCGTTTATGAGATAATTCTCTGCTTCGGTACAGGTCAGTCATTTTTCTAAAGGCATTCTCTGATCTCTCCGTTCCCCCCGTTCCCGACACCGGACTGTCCCCTCGAGGCGGTGGGTGCCCCCGGAGCAGCTAGGAAGCCCAAAAGGTGCAGGACTCCCATACTGCTTCCCAGCAGAGGGGGGGAAACGGTGGTGGCAAGGAATTTTCAGAAAGGCAGAATGGGTTCACAAAACAAAAACGGTGCTTTCAAACCCTAATTACTGTTAGCAGGGATTAAGTAATAGTCACTAACCTCTTAAATTCACAGAGGAGAAATGTGATCCTGTCTAATTCTCCTCCGCTCCCTGCAGCTCCTTCTTACACAACGCCCCGCAGATCCGGCATATCAACGCACAGCTCGCCCTGCTGCTATCATCGCAGCAACACCCCTTGGCCGGGAGTCCAATAAGGACATCGTAGGGGCGGGCTGTAGCCAGAAGCAGCTACAGCCGCAGAAAGGCTGGCACGGGCGTTGGGGCTGCGAGCTTTCACCTCACCCCGAAAACGCTGAGCAGGGCAGCAAGGGACGGATTCCGCCGGGGACCTGGAGAAGACCCCAGTTAAGCCAAAACAACCCAGAGCCCAACGTGCCGAGACTTGTTGAGGCTGGTACCCGTTAGCGCTTGCATCCGCTGGCTTCATGCTGTAGGCTGAGTCGCTACTCAGGGACATGGGAGTTTCAGCAGTGCCAAGCCTCCCAGAAGAAAAGCAGTGACGTCTGTGCCTGCCTTTGCCCTAGCAAGCTGCATATGGAAAGTAGCTGTTGGGACAAAGCAGGCGTTACACAAGCTCTTACTCAGGGCTATTTCCCCCCGTCCAACAGAGACTGCTTCCTGGCACACAAAATGCCCGGCTTCAGCACTAGCTTTTCCTTAGAGAAACACTCTGCCCAGCTCTTTCTTCTACCTTCTTTACTAACCTTGCAACCTGGGCTTCTTATCTACGTGCAGGAGGCCTTGTGCTCAGGGCTCGAAAGATAAAAGCCTGAGAGGGTGCAGCTGTCTTCCCAGAGGCCAGTAGTTCCTGCAATAAACAGGATATGAAAGGATGAAAATGTGAATTTCACAGCTCATGTTATATCATGCTGATGTGGGGCATTTACAGACCATGCTGACAACTAAAACTGTCAACGTCAGACTAGAGCTACAAAAATTAAAAAGCCAACAAAAAATAACAACAACAATAAATAACTTCTGAATAAATTTGCCTCAGATGTAAGGTAGAAATAACTCTGCTGAAATCAGTTACAAAACACTTTTCCACCTGAGCATGTTCTATTCAACCTATTTCCAGTAAATCTTAGGCCAGGCTCTATTTAAGTAAGAAGTAATAGTGTAGTTTGTCTTTTCCTGCTAGGCTTAAAAATTCAGTTATATATTCCTTACATTCTTTATTCTAAAATTCCGCAGGATGGGATTGTAATGATATGCAGTATACCATTCTTTTGAGATTTTCTCACTCATTCCTTCTCGCAGCTAACTTCCTCACCAGCAGGTAGGCAGAAACACACTTAGCCTCCTTGTAGCTGCATGTGCTTTTCTACAGTCATGTTATCTATGTTATCTGAGCCACTTACAGAGTCCTAACACAGGCAAAACCTCCATGGTCTAACAGAACATTATCTGAACATGGGGTTTATACTGACATGATTATGCTGAATGTTTCAAATATGTCACAGAATGTTTCAAAATACTTTCCTCTCCCTCAGGCACTTTGGAGCATCACAGTTCAAGGTGGCCAAGGCACAGATCTACCCATCAGAAGTTCTAATTTATAGTAATTACACAACTGCAATAAGAAGGAGCTCCAGAGTGTGACTAAAGAATTACTTACCAGACTGATGAGCAGGAAGTTTGAAGAACATCAAAGCATGAATGAAGGGTGGTAACGTATGTGTTGCATTGCATATAGAAGCATTGGCAGACCAGGATGTATGGCATTTAAAGATACACAAAGCAAGTTCGACATGTGGTATAGCTAATAACTAGCATGTGACTGCATGCTTAGCATAAAGTAATGAATCAATTAGCACATGGTAAGAAACTATAATGAATAGCAGAATATATGAAATAATGCATGTGGACTGATTAGAGGCAGATGTAGCTCAGTGTTCGGCTTCAGTAATAATGCCAGCATTTGCACAGCCACATGTTCTATAGTATCCAGGACCTGTTTGATCTCATAATTAACCTTATAAAAGAGAAAAATCTCTACTTTTCCAATGGATTAGCTCCCAAAACACGTGTGGGAGTGGCAACAGAAGGCAGAACAGGAACACAGAGCTGCTTCTTCACAGCATGCTGGAAATTCCAGCAATTAGGTTGGTTTAAACTTGTTGGGTAACTACACTTTCTGGCTCCACTGCTTGCTGTTTGCCTCCATGCTCTGCCATAGGCTGTTTATTTATTCAGGTGGAATACTTAGCAACGCTTGGAGCCAGACCTCAGCAAGGTTAGGGAGTGGGGGAGCTGCTTCTTTGAAGGGGTAGAATGGAACCTGGACTCCAGAGTGACCCATTTGTGGCTGTGAGATGAGCAGGAAATGTGGAGAGAGGAGCTGGAGTCTTTGGGATGGTGACTGAGGAAAACACTGACTTTGGAGCAGCAGCAAATTGTGGCAGGAGAGCCACGGACTCTGTTGCTGGTGCAGAACAAAGACATTTATTGTACATGCTTATAATCTTTTACACCCACACAACAACCTCTTAGTCATACGTACCAACCAGGCGCCTCGTGCGTGTTTACATTTGGTGCACGTAGCTACCAAGCTTGCTTACTCATTTGCAAGGTCTTTTGTTCATAATGTCTTTCTTTGTCCCACATCTCCCCCTTCTTTATTAGTGTGAACAGCAAGCATTTGGTATTAATATAAAGTTTATGTACTAACAAACATGCGAATACCAAAAAAAGCCCATTAATCTGTGTGATCTTTCAGACCCACGGTCCCAAACCTTGATACCACCCATCAAACTAAACCCATGAGTTTTCAACATGTAGCTTTTGCCCCACAGATCAAAAATGTTGTGAGGTAGTTGTCACATTGCTTGACGCTGAGATATTGGCTGTAGTATCCACTGTCCAGCTGCCTCCGTAGGCTTTGGTTGGGAGGACACCCAGAAGGTGTCACAGATCTGAAGAAGCAGCAGGAGATGTTGATGGTGCAGTCAAGCAGGGCTTTATGACTCTGGCTGGAACCCATCACGGTCCAGCAAACCATTACCTCTTTGCCCCTTTCCCCCTATTTTTTTCAATAGGGCTATATATATTTTTAAATAATTGAAATTATATATTCAGAACCAGAATTATGAAAGCCAGGCAGGTGCAGGTAAGATATCAGTTGTAAATATATGTTTGTACACATTACATTAAAGAAGAGAATCTTTGTTTGGATTCCCACAAGTATCCCATCTTAAATATCTTAGTGAATAAAGGGCTAGTTAAAATTGTAAGAGTAGTTGAGCATAAACAATGGGAATGATAAGGATTCATTAGTTAGGGGTGGAGTTTGGGATGCAGAATAGGCATGGAATATTGTAATGAATTTCTAGAATTAATTGTAATCACTTCTTGTACCATGAATATGCATTCCTTCCATAAATAAAGATGTTTACCTGCTTTCGGTGTGCAGGCTAGGAAGGAGTTATCCCCCCTGCACCCAGTTGGCCAAATAAAACATACCTACTCTACAACTACTTCGTGGTTATAGAGTTTGTTCCGCAAGTCACCAGGGCCCCAGAAGGTCTTTAGCCACAGGTCAGAGCACGTAGCTGCATCCCACAGCCTCACTCCGGCTTTGTCCCACATTTCTGTGTCACAGATCATAGCCCCATCTACTCCTTCTACGTTACGAGAGACCCACACAAAAAGTCACTTAGATGGAAGCTTTCCACTTTAGCGTAGTGCTTCTGCAAAATTGTTTCCATTCTTTTGCAGACC